GGAAGGCTCTCTATCTCAGTTCACGGATAATTCAACAGGTTCAATGGTGGCCAAGGTTGAAAGTTGGCATATGTGTTATTTATCAAGGTTAGACTGTGTGTTTTGGAAGTCACAAACATAGGTAGAAAATTAAAATAACAGAGTTGGAAGGGACCTTGGAGGTCTTCTAGTCCAACCCTCTACTTAGGCAGGAAACCCTATATCATTTCAGACAAATGGCTATCCAATCTCTTCTTTAAAACTTCCAGTGTTGGAGCATTTACAACTTCTGGAGCCCAGTTGTTCCACTGATTATTTATTCTAACTGTCACGAGATTTCTCCTTAGTTCTAGGTTGCTTTTCTCCTTGATTAAACCAAAATAAGATTCCTTTTCCTTTTAACCATAATTGATCCCTTACATTTTCCAACTTAACATTCTTTTAGAAATATCTTTTTGACAACCAATTTGATCCAATGATTAAAGGCACCAGGGTAGAAACTAAGAGACCCTGAATCCTAGTCCCACCTTAGGCACTGAGCTGGCTGGGTGACCTTGGGCCAGCCACTCTCTTTTAGCCATAGGAAGGAGGCATTGGCCAACCAATTCTGAAAATACTGCCAAGAAAACTGAAGTCACCAGGAATCAACACTGACTCAAAGGCTCCAAAACAAAACAATTTAACTGAAAAACAGTTTATGCATTAAGGGTTTGGTAATATTAAGGGACAACAAAAGATGAATGAGGAGGTAGGACAATTCCCCCTGCAAATGTGAAAAAACAAAATCACTGAGCAATTCAAGGCCCTTCTGGCCCTTATTGAAACGGGGGAAGTTGAAAAGGAGAGGCGGAGAGATTTTTCTTTCCTCCGACTGATTTTCATTCCAAATATTCTCATTCACTGCAAGATATGAAAAGTGAAATATTGGAAGAGACTGAACTGAGGCAATTTGGAACTGGAAACCGAGATCCAAGAGCTGGAATCAGAAATATTTTAAATCCTATGGCTCCATAGTTATCTACCACCCACCCATCACCCACCCTTCACCCTTCTGTCCTACAAATTGGTAAAAAAAAAAATATCAGTACACCAAATACAAACTAGGCGGATATGACCTCCCTGACATCCTCACTCTGTCAAAGACCTTGGAGTACTCATATCAAAAGACCTAAGCACCAGAGCTCACTGTAACAGCATTCCAAAAAGGCATTAAGAGTTGTAAATCTAATCTTACGAAGCTTCTCCTCCGGAAATATTGAATTGCTAACTAGAGCATACAAAACTTTTGCCAGACCAATACTCGAATACAGCTCATCAATCTGGAATCTGCACTATATGTCAGACATTAATACAATTGAGCAAGTCCAGAAGTATTTCAAGAGAAGCATACTATACCCCTCTGCTCACAACAGAATATTCTACATCACCAGGTTTGAGATTTTTGGCTTAGACAACCTTGAACTACGCCACCTATGATTGGACTTAAGTATAGCACACAAAATTATCTGCTACAATGTCTTACCAGTCAATGAATACTTCAGCTTCAACCGCAACAATACAAGAGCACACAACAGATACAAACTCAATATAAACCACTCCAAACTTGATTGCAGAAAGTACAACTTCAGCAACAGAGTGGTCAATGCTTGGAATGCACTACCTGACTCTGTTGTTACATCCTCAAACCCCCACTCCTTTAACCTCAAACTATCCACTATTGACCTCACCCCATTCCTAAGAAGTCTGTAAAGGGCGTGCATAAGTGCACCATCGTGCCTACCGTCCCTGTCCTATTGTCCCCATTTATTTGTCCCTATTTCCTGCATTCTTACTCATGTTTATACTTATACCTATTATCTTGTAAGCGATTGACAAATAAATAAATAAATAAATAAGAATCATGGCATCAGAGATTTTAAGATCTCTCTTTCTCTGCCATAGCAGAGGAGATCCAGTCTATCCCTGAATGTCTGAAATGCCTTCTCAAGGCACATACTACAGGTTGTCCTTGACTTACAACAGTTCACTTAGTGACTGTTCAAAGTTAAAATGAAAATGAAAAAAGTGACTTATATGACCATTTTTCACACTTATCATCCCCCATGGTCTCATGATTTATATTCGGATGCTTGACAACTGACTCACATTTATGACGGTTGCAGTGTCCCAGGGTCACGTGATCACTTTTTGCAACCTTCAGACAAGCAAACTCAATGGGGAAACCAGATTCATTTAACAACCGTGTTGCTAATTTAACAACCTCAAGGATTCACTTAACAATGGTGGCAAGAAAAGTCGTAAAACAGGGCAAAGCTCACTTAACAAATTTCTCACTTAGCAATATAAATGTTGGGTTCAATTGTGGTTATAAGTTGAGGACTACTTGAGTTTCACTTTAAATAACTTGCTAGTTTTACCCCATTTTTTTTTTTTTAAAATAGCAAAACCAGTTCAGTTTCATAGGTAATAATAATTAATCTCACACTCATCTCTTATGTAAACATTAGCATAAATTGGAACATCTATTTGAAATCTTTATTCGCACTCCAAAAATGGAGGGTTATTTTCATGAACCATAATGAAGGATTTCTGTGCCTTAAACTACACACCGTTTGTTTGTTTGTTTTGAAAAATAAAGCATCATGAGTTTTTGTGGTGGAAGGTGTTTGACACACTGAAGAAACATGTAAATAAAATAAAAATAAAAATTCTGAATCACTTTACAGTTTCTCACAGTAAAACATGCCTTGTGGAAAAAAAACAGTTAAGCAGAGTCAAAATGCTTGACGAGACACTGAGCGGGAGATGCCTCATAAGTCAAATGATGAATTAAAGAACAAGATCTTGCTAAAAACAGACATAGGCTTATGGAATTAATGGAATCAAAATGGGATTGGAAGTCAAGATAGATTTTTAAGTTATACCTACTTGAGTTTAATGGCTTCTATTCCTTAAATGGGTACAGAATATGAATTTTAGAGTGAGACTTGTGTGTGTGTGTGTGTGTGTGTGTGTGTGTGTGTGTGAGTGAGTGAATTGTATTGTGTTGGTCTCTGTTCAGCTTTTCTACAGTGAAAATAAAATCTTCATAGACCTGGATTCTTGCAATGCCCTTTCATGATAGAGAGTCTAGCAGTGTTTTTACCAAATGAAGCATGGTTTTCCTAATAATAGAAGAAGAAAGGGGCAAAAAACTATTTATACCCCCTTGCAGAATGTTTGATGAAAACATTATGAACTCCAATTTACATTGGGGTTCATAATCAGAATATAAATTGCCGCAAAAGTTTACATCAGAACTTAATCTTTTCCCCCTTTGTATTGAGCCCTGACAATAATTGTACGCTCCACCCCATCATAAGTATTGCAGTGTAATAAGGAAGTCAATTTAATGTAGCCTGACAACATAATATTTTCTAAGAAAAAGCACAGGGATTACTTCCAAGAAAGTGACAAAGTGACACTTGACAAAGTGACAAAATTAGTTGACCAGAGAAATACTGTCAATATAATTTACTTGGACTTCAGTAAGGCATTTGATAAAGTAGACCATAACCTACTACTAGATAAAGCAGAAAAGGTGGGTTCGACAGCATCACCACCACATGGATTCATAACTGGCTGACCACACTCAATGTATAGTCTTCAATGGAACTGCAATGGAACTTCAATGGAAATATGCAGTGGAATACCCCAAGGCTCTGTTTTAGGCCCAGTACTCTTCAACATCTTCGTAAATGACTTGGGCAAGGGGATAGATGGGGAACTCATCAAATGTGCAGATGACACCAAGCTGGAAAGAATAGCCAACACTCCAGAAGATAGGCTTAAGATACAGAAGGATCTTAACTGACTTGAACATTGGGCACTCTCTAACAAAATGAAATTCAATGGTGAAAAAAGTAAGGTTTTACATTTAGGCAAGAAAAATCAAATTCATAGGTACAATATGTGTAGTACCTTGCTCAATAGTAGTAACTGTGAGAAGGATCAGCAACCATTTAAATATGAGCCAGCAGTGTGCAACAGCTGCCCAAAAAGCCAACATGCAGTAGTGGGATTCAAATTTCTTTACTACTGGTTCTTTGGGTGTGGCTTGGTGGGCGTGGCAGGGGAAGAATACTGTAAAATCTCCAGTCAAAAGTGATATTTGCCGGTTCTCTGAACTACTCAAAATTTCCACTACCGGTTCTCCAGAACTGGTCAGAACCTGCTGAATACCACATCTGCCAATGTGGTTCTAGGCTGCATAAACAGAGGGATAGAATCAAGATCATGTGAAGTGTTAATACCACTTTATAATGCCTTGGTAAGGCCACACTTGGAATACTGCATTCAGTTTTGGTTGCCACGATGTAAAAAAGATGTTGAGACTCTAGAAAGAGTGCAGAGAAGAGCAAGAAAGATGATTAGGGGACTGGAGGTTAAAACATATGAAGAACGGCTGCAGGAATTGGGTATGTCTAGTTTAATGAAAAGAAGGACTGGGGATGACATAATAGCAGTGTTCCAATATCTCAGGGGCTGCCACAAAGAAGAGGGAGTCAAGCTATTCCCCAAAGCACCTGAGGGCAGGACAAGAAGCAAGGGGTAGAAACTAATCAAGGTGAGAAGCAACTTAGAACTAAGGAGAAATTTCCTGATAGTTAGAACAATTAATCAGTGGAACAACTTCTTGCCTCCAGAAGTTGTGAATGCTCCCACACTGGAAGTTTTTAAAAAGATGTTGAATAACCATTTGCCTGAAGTGGTGTAGGGTTTCCTGCCTAGACAGGGGGTTGGACTAGAAGACCTCCAAGGTCCCTTCCAACTTTGTTATTCTATTCTAAAGCATGGATAGAACAGTACATCACAGTTGCTTAGATTGGACTTTCAGCTGCATTACTTGAATTGTGCTTCTGCACCTATTTTCCTGAAAGTAAAATTTATTGGATTCACCAGAGACTGACTTTAGAGTAGATTTATGTTGTCTTGATGTTACTATATAATTCTTCTTCTAATTGTGTTTTTGTATCCTGCAGAAATAGATGAGAAGAGAATGAACAACAACTCCCAAGATGAAGTAAGTTAATTGCAATTTAAAACATAAATTACAGTTGCATTGTCTGGCAAACATTCAGAAATGTCTTAATTCTTTGCTTCTTGTATCGCAGCAGAGATATTCTTAAATTGTCTGTTGGGAAAAGCAAGTGGTAGAAGACATTATCAGCTCAATGACATTTATTAAATCACTTATTTATTATTAATAAATGTCATTTTGAGAATTAGGCCCACAATATAAATAAAAATAAAAGGATTTAGTACACATGATATATACACTGCTCAAAAAATTAAAGGGAACACTTAAACACAATGTAACTCCAAGTCAATCACACTTCTGTGAAACCAAACTGTCCAATTAGGTAGCAACACTGATTGACAATCAATTTCACATGCTGTTATGCAAATGGAATAGACAACAAGTGGAAAGCATAGGCAGTTAGCAAGACATCCCCAATAAAGGAGTGATTCTGCAGGTGGTGACCACAGACCCCTTCTCAGTTCCTATGCTTTCTGGCTGATGGTTTGATCACTTTTGAATGCTTGCGGTGCTTTCACTCTAGTGGTAGCATGAGACGGAGTCTACAACCCACACAAGTGGCTCAGGTAGTGCAGCTCATCCAGGATGGCACATCAATGCGAGCTGTGGCAAGAAGGTTTGCTGTGTCTGTCAGCGTAGTGTCCAGAGCATGGAGGCGCTACCAGGAGACAGGCCAGTACATCAGGAGACATAGAGGCGGCTGTAGGAGGGCAACAACCCAACATCAGGACCGCTACCTCTGCCTTTGTACAAGGAGGGACAGGAGGAGCACTGCCAGAGCCCTGCAAAATGACCTCCAGTGGGCCACAAATGTGCATGTGGCTGCTCAAACGGTCAGAAACAGACTCCATGAGGGTGGTATGAGGGCCCGACGTCCACAGGTGGAGGTTGTGCTTACAGCCCAACACCGTGCAGGACGTTTGGCATTTGCCAGAGAACACCAAGATTGGCAAATTTACCACTGGTGCCCTGTGCTCTTCACAGATGAAAGCAGGTTCACACTGAGCACATGTGATAGATGTGACAGGGTCTGGAGATGCCATGGAGAACGTTCTGCTGCCTGCAACATCCTCCAGCATGACCGGTTTGGCAGTGGGTCAGTAATGGTGTGGGGTAGCATTTCTTTAGGGGGCCTCACAGCCCTCCATGTTCTCGCCAGAGGTAGCTGCCCTTAGGTACCGAGATGAGATCCTCAGATCCCTTGTGAGACCTTATGCTGGTGCGGTTGGCCCTGGGTTCTTCCTAATGCACGACAATGCTAGACCTCATGTGGCTGGAGTATGTCAGCAGTTCCTGCAAGATGAAGGCATTGATGCTATGGACTGGCCCGCCCGTTCCCCAGACCTGAATCCAATTGAGCACATCTGGGACATCATGTCTCGCTCCATCCGCCAATGCCACATTGCACCACAGACTGTCCAGGAGTTGGGGGATGCTTTAGTCCAGGTGTGGGAGGAGATCCCTCGGGAGACCATCTGCCACCTCATCAGGAGCATGCCCAGGCATTGTAGAGAGGTCATACAGGCACGTGGAGGCCACACACACTACTGAGCCTCATTTTGACTTGTTTTAAGGACATCAAAGTTGGATCAGCCTGTAGTGTTTTTTTCCACTTTAATTTTGAGTGTAACTCCAAATCCAGACCTCCATGGGTTGCTAAATTTGATTTCCATTGATAATTTTTGTTGTCAGCACATTCAACTATGTAATGAACAAAGTATTTAATAGGAATATTTCATTTATTCAGATCTAGGATGTCTTATTTTTGTGTTCCCTTTATTTTTTTGAGCAGTGTATTTGCTGAAAATTAAATCACAAATTATTATTGCTATTATTGAAACTGATTGAATTGAAATTGAATATTATTATGTAAAAAGATGGAGGCTGCAAAAATGTTGCTCGTCATCTTGCCCTCTTTCCAGGATATTTCATTCTATTCCTCTATTTTCTCCTTCCTCCATCATCAGTACTATATGTGCAATCCTCATTGGACAGTTTGTATAACATCAATCTTTGTTTAATGTTCTTCTTAATTTACAAATCTTCCACCAAGATTATTGACATCTTCCTTTTGCGTATCATTAATGCTGTTTTAATTATGCAAGGATTCATGCTTGCCTGTGAATTCTGAATTTTTTTTTTTCAAAAGAAAGAAAATAGAGGAAAGAAAAATAATTATCCAGACAATATAATGTCAGTCCTGAAGTGTGTTTTTCCCATCTTTCTGTCCTCTATACAGTATGTTCCGAACCAATTTAATTTTTTTCTGAAAATTTAAATAGGCCAGTGTTACTTTTAATAGCAAGAAACATTATTGATTTTTTTTCAAATTTAGGTATAAACATTTAAAAGCATTAAATGATGATGATCAACATCCCATCACACAATGAATATGGTTAGCACTCTCTATCTACATCCAATAATTTATTCATACGAAGCATCTTTCCATCCATTAACATAAAATATTATGAACCATTTTATATTTCACAGAGCAGCTTATAGAGCTGCTGAATCTTCCTTGATTCGAAGGATATGCTTAAAATATACACAACAACAACCCCTACACAACTCTTTGGAATTGGAATATGGTGTTTTAGGTTGAGATTCTTTAAAGAAGTAATATGAGAATTTATTATTTCACATTGCCAAAATGCCATTAGCTGAAGCCAGCAGTGTTTATTTGTTTGTTTGTTTATTATTGTAGTTTGGATGCTTAGTTGAGCAACTCCAGGCAGCTTTAAAAATCTGATACTAACTTCCAGGTTTTGGGGAACAAAGCCAAAAAAGGAGCAATACATCCAGTTGGTAGTCACCATTGGAGGAGGGACCTGTTAATACATAGTAACATCTGATGAAATGTGAATTGTAGCTCATGAAAGCCTTTTAATAAAATTTGTTAGTTGGAAAAGATGCCACCAGTTTCCATCTGATTTTTTTTTTTACAATCTGATTGTGTACCCACCCCCCAAAAGGGGTGGAATAAAGAACGTGGCCTTCTCCTAAAATATTTGTATTAATTTTTCTGAAATTTCTCAAAGACAAATAAGGAATGGATTATGAGCCATGGTGGTGCAGTGATTAGAGTGCAGGACTGCAGGCTACTTCTGCTGCCTACTGGCTGCCTGCAATTTGGCAGTTTGAATCTCATCAGGCTCAAGGTTGACTCAGCCTTCCATCCTTCTGAGGACCCAAATTGTTGAAGGCAACATGCTAACTCTGTCAACCGCTAAGAGAGGGCTGTAAAGCACTGTGAAGCAGTATATAAATCTAAGTGCTGTTGCTATGTTGCTTCAAGCTACAAGGCAGAAAATATTTGCAGTGCAACTACTGCAGGAGATCAGATCAAGAAGATGCTTCAAAGGTAAAACAAAGAGGCCTCGTCAGTGTAATGATATAGAAAAGACCTTCAGGAAAAAATAATGCAAAAGAATGATCAGAGAGTATAACTCACAGCTGTATAATGGGTGGAAAAAGAGGCTCATGGGGGACCTTGCCTAGCTTCTCAGACTGTAGATGGCAGAACATTTATACTTTCAAGATTTGGTTAATCTAGTCTTACAATAAAGTAGAATTAGATCATTTGGAGATGTTTCCTCTTACCATCTTACCATCTGCCTACCATCCTATTGTTTCTTTTATTTTTCTTACATGTATTCATGTATTCATAACTATGTTTTTACTTATACCTATTATCTTGTGAGCAATTGATAAACCAAATAAAATAAATAAATAAATAAAAAAAAAAAAAGCTGACAAGTTTAAAAATGTCATCTCCTTCATAGTCTGAGAAGCTAGAGAAGGCCCTCATGAACCTCTTTTTCTACTGATTATAAAGCTTTGGGTCTGTGTTCTCTTTTATCTGATCATTCCCTAGGCAGCAATTCTTTGATCTACCTCTCAAGGTCTTTCTCTTATACTGTTACACTCAGTATAGACCTGTGTTGAGAAGAGGGGTCTATAGAAGCTCCCTCCCTGTAGACTGGCATATGATATCTTCTTTAGCTCCTGATTGCACTAAAAGATCATTCTTTTTATTGACAGTCACAGAATGTCTCCCCTAAACAGAGGAAGCAGAGTGTCTACACTGCGCCTGCCATGAAAGGTACTGTTCAGGTACTGTTTCTTCTTATGCAAACACCTCTTGGGTCTGGCTGTCACCATCTTCCTACTGTTCTGTCATTACTGGAGAACTTAATGATCACATGAAGGGAATAGAAGCCTCTGTCTCTGATGACGTTTTTTTGAAGATGGATTGAAAGGAAGTCTATGGAGATTCTCAATCATCCAGGTCATGTTTGTCTAAAAAGTGCTTTTCAAAATGCAACTGGACTTTCTTGGTTTTTTTTTTTAACCTTGTAAACATTCCACTTCTCATCTAAGAAACTTCTTCAGTCCCGGCTGAATGGTCGGAAATGGAAGGATTTATATTTGGAATGGAATATTTATATTCCTTAATGGCCTTGTTGAGGCCACTTGGGGGTTTATTTATAGTCTCAGCTGGTCTCCACTGGTTTAAAAGAGGGGTCAAAGAGGCTGTCCTGTCTCAACAGAGTGGGAGTGATATGACACCACTTATCCTCTGTCTACACAACACAGTCCTTTCAGCAGTCCCAGGAAGGTTCCACACCTATTTGTACTCTGATTCAGGTGACCCTGAGAGTATAGCCAAACCCCCCAAGTTACCTCAAAGACTCTCAGGGAACCAGCAACCAACTTTCAGAGTGATTAGATGACTGCCAAGGAATACCTTATGCCACCAGACTTGAAACTCTAGACCTAGAAAACCTAGAACTACGCTGCCTTCTGTCCGATCTAAATATAGTATATAAAATCATACATTGCAATGTCCTACCTGCAAATGAACACTTCAGCTTCAATCATAACAATACAAGAGCAAACAATAGATACAAACTCAAGGTTAACCACACCAAACTTGATTGCAGGACATGACTTCAGCAACAGAGTGGTCAATGTCTGGAATACTCTACCTGACTCTGTGGTTTTTTCCCCAAACCCCAAAAACTATAACCTTAGACTGTCTACTATTTACTTCACCCCCTTCCTAAGAGGCCTGTAGGGGGCATGCATAAGCGCACCAATCGTGCTTACCATCCCTGTCCTATTGTTTCTTTTTATTTTTCTTATAAGTGTCCATCTCATGTATTCAAAACTATGTTTATTCTTATACCTATATCTTGTAAGCGATTGACAAATCAAATAAATAAATAAAAAGTAAAATATAAATCCTTCCATTCCCCAACATTCAGCCAGAACTGAAGAAGTTTCTTGGGTGAGAAGCAATATGTTTTCAAGAGAAAAAAATCCCCAAGAAATCCAGTTGCCTTTTGAAGAAAGCATCTTTGGGATTGAAAGGAAGGGGATTCAGAAAGGCTGGAACCTCAAACCCATGTCATAATCCTTTCCCTGGTACTGTACAGGTGAAGGATGGGCTCCTCCCTAATTCATTTCCAAGCAATTATCTTATCTCTTTATTTATTTATTCAACTTTTAGGGCAGATCACTAGCCATGAAACTCTGGGTGGCTAACAATCCATTTAACAACAATCATAAATACTTTTTTAAAAATTAAAACCACAGATAACATCCATGATGTTATTGTCAGGGTTCCGGCAGTTACTCCAATTAAATCATGAGCCTTGAGCCACACTCTCAAAACTAAAGAGGATTTATTTGAAGGTAACATTCTACATCCGGCACTAATCTGGGCGTAGCCAGCTCTGAGATACGTAATTCACTGTCACCCTTGATCCTGTTTCCCCCACCCCACCCCTCTGAGTGTATCATCCAATGAAAAAAACGTCCGTAGCCAGAAATCAGACATCACCAAAGATGGGCTCTGCAGTCATCCTGACCTATTGCAGGGGGTGGTGGGGGGTGGAGAACCAGGTATTCAATGCCTTATGAAAGCCTAACAGAGTCAGGGCATCTGATTCAGGGTGGAGTTGAATTCTATTAGATGGAATTGTTTGATAGAAGAGATCAGAATTTTACTGATCAGTTTTCAAGGAACACACATAGCTTTTAAAAAATGCTAATAAAATAACTATGACCTATCTCATAATGATAGATACCACTTTTTTTCCAAAGGTGGACAATGATACTCCTGCATAAGTCTCTCTTGATGTCTGTCATGTTCCTTATTCCTTAGGATTTAAATATTTCCTTAAATTAAAAATATGGGTAGCTAGCATGGCTCAAGCCCAAACATTAGCCTTTAGCTTTACAGGGGTTTGCTATATTTTATTACTCCCAAATAGCCATTGAAATTAGTGGTTTTTAATTGTGTTGAATTTCTATCAGGAAGTCTCTTTAACTATAGACTCTGATCCATTTTATTTCCAGTATAATCAACAGACAAATAGTGTTCAAGGAAAAACAAAGAAAGTTCAGTTGCCATTTGAAAAACCACTTTTGGGACAGCTATGATCTGGATGACTAAGAATCTCCATAGACAAGGATCAGCATAATTTCAAACTATTTGGGTTGGTTGTTAAGGGTAAGAAGAATAAAAGTTTGGCCCAAAAGACTTCTATTTCAATTCCCACGCTTAAGTCCCCAAATATGAGGGATATCCACAAAATAGATTACATTTTCGTCTGTAGCAAGAAGGGGTGGAGCTAGCGTGGCCATCTTTGGTCTGTGTGTCCGCCGCTCAGTCTGCATCTAGTCGTGCTAGTGGGAGGTTCGTATCATTGCCTGTTATTTCACAGCAAACGTTTGAAATGTGTGCTGCAATTGAAAATCCCGCAAGTTGTGAGGTGCGATCAGTGATCAGGTTTTTGTTGGCAAAAAACCATAAACCGATTGAAATTTTAATTGAAAAATTGAAAAACTAAGAAAAGCAATTCAGAACAAGCGTAGAGGAAAGTTAAGCTCAAAACTTTTGTTTTTGCATGACAATGCCCGACTACACACAGCAAATCGCACTCGAGAAGTCCTGAATGCTTTCAAGTGGGAGATTTTTCCTCATCCACCCTACAGCCCCGATCTTGCACCAAGCGACTACCACTTGTTTCCGAGGATGAAGACCTGGCTTGGAACAAAATTTTTGAGCTTAACTTTCCTCTACGCTTGTTCTGAATTGCTTTTCTTAGTTTTTCAATTTTTCAATTAAAATTTCAATCGGTTTATGGTTTTTTGCCAACAAAAACCTTATCACTGATCGCACCTTACATCTCGAGGGATTTTCAACTGCAGCACACATTTCAAACGTTTGCTGTGAAATAACGGGCAACAATACGGTCCTCCCACTAGCACGACTAGATGCAGACTGAGCGGCGGACGCACAGACCAAAGATGGCCGCGCTAGCTCCGCCCCTTCTTGCTACAGACGAAAACGTAATCTATTTTGTGGATAGCCCTCGTATAAACTATTTATTGAGACCATGAGGGATTTGGGGTAGTGGAATTGATAGTGGGACATCTTTGAGAGACAGGAGGGGGAAAGCCTTAAAAAAGGACTAATTCCAACCACATCATTAAATGATCAGATGACTCTTTATCCCTCATAGGAAGTTTGAAGCATGAATGCCTCCAATCCTTTAGAAATTGCCCATCACAGATATAAAGAAATAACTTTAATTCATGTATTTGAACTGACCAGAAGAAAAATATCTTGATGCTGTACTATATGAGAATGGCAACCAAGAGTTCTAATGTTCCTTGTACACATAACTTACTACACTTTTTATATTTCATAATATTTTTAAACTTTAAGCACATTTAAAAAGGAGCAGTCCATCATGCCCATTTTTATTTCCACTCATGTTCTTAGATTTCATATATACCCAGAGCTCCTTTAGAAAATAAGCACGATTGGCTTCAGCTTCCATTTATGCCTGGCTTCCCATCCAGAAAAAAAAGAGAGACCCAAGAAAAACTAGGAAGTCGACAATGAGCTTCTGGGGATGGTGGTACTGCAAGATTGATGGACAGGAATCTCACTAGTTTGTTTTTTGGCTTTGTGGTCAGCCATGATCATGGTGGTAGCCATGGTGTAAACTATGAGAATTCTTAGTAGCACTTTCTTAAGAACCCGCCAAATTCTTAAAATGTCAATATATCAATTTGCTCTATCAATCACACATTATATGTATTGTAATTTGATATGTTATCTGCAGAAAAGGTCAGGAGCTTCAATCTGTACTTGAATAACTTGTTCTCAATTGACTCTTTGAGTGAATGTCTCTCAGCTGAATTCTGATAGAGTTATAATAACTATCTTGCACCACCTAAGCTAAGGCATCCTCCCTTTTTGAGAATTTGAATTCAGCCCTTGGGGCAGGCTGGCTTTGATCAGCAAGTTTTGATCTATGCACCAAAACTAACTAATGCATTCAAATAAACTTTGCTACATGATAGACAGAATGCCCAAGCAAGGCCAATGAATGTTCAATATCTTCATAAACGATTTAGATGAGGGGATAGAAGGAGAACTCATCAAATTTGCACCATGGGGGTGGGGAATAGGAATAGTCAACACATTAGAAGATAGGGCCCTACCCAACAAAATGCAATTCCGTGACGAAAAAGTAAGGTTTTACACTTAGACAAGAAAAACCAAATGCATAGGTATAGAGTAGCTGGTATATAGCTCAACAGCAGTAACTGTGAGAGGGTTTTAGGATTCCTAGTGGACAACAGGATTCCACAGCTGACAAAAAAGACAATGGAGTCCTAGGTTGCATCAACAGAGGGTCACATGCAATGTTGGTGCCATTTTATACTGCTTTGGTAAGACCACAACTTGGAATACTGCATCCAGTTTTGGTTACTACAATAAAAAAAGATGTTGAGACACTAGAAAGAGTGCAGATAAGAGCAACAAAGGTTATTAGAAGTCTGGAAGCTAAAACATATGACGAACAGTTGCAGGAATTGAGTATGTCTAATCTGATGTAGGCAAGGATTAGGGGTGACATGATAGCCTGTTAAATACTGGAAGGCTGCTGTAACAGAGAAGAGGTAAGTCAACCTACTCTCCAAAGTATCTGAGGGAAGGCCAAGAAGAAACGGGCGGAGACTTATCAAGAAGAGATCCAACTTAGAATTAAGGGGAAATTTCCTGACAGTAAGAATAATTATAGAATGAC